GTGTGTGTGTGTGTGTGTGTGTGATAAAATGGACTCTGGCGGGCAAGGGAAAAGGACCACCAGTAGCTTGGGCAGCCTCAGCTGTGGGATGTTAGCCTGCTCACTCTCTCCAACCCCATCTCTGGCAGGACCCCAAACTGAGTCTGGAAGGGGCTTGAAGGTCACATCTGCTTTTGGTTGGGTTTGGAGGGAAGACAAGAGGGCGAAGTCACGAGGAGGGAGTTGTGGGGCCAGAGCGGTGGGAGGAGGCTGTCACTCAGTCTTGACATTTATGGTCCAGGCCCTGGCCTGCTACCCTTCCAGCTCACTGGCACCATTCCACAGGAACAAGTAACCCTTGCCTGCCCACAGCTGGGTCAGGGACAGCCATGTAGAGGGATCTTTCGCAGCAGCGTGAACTAGCTGTTCTCTCTGTCCTTGGGACCCTGGGATGAGATCTGTTATGAGGAACTGTGGCATTTCAGAGGAGGACAAGAGTTTCAGAAGGGACGAGTGAGGAATAACAGCTGGTGGGTGTGAGGGAGACCATGAGCACAGATTCAGTGACAGAATTCCAGACACATGATCTGTGAAGTGCACTAGAAATCCTCCCTCCTGAAAATGTGAAGTGCTGTGCTGCTCCTGCTTAGAACAGGTTAAAGGCTGTGGCTCCAGAGTTCGAGGCTACGCCTGGAAGATTCGGGGGCGTTTAAGGAAGGGGCGCATAAATACCCAGCCAGGAGCTGGAGGCTCGGTTCCCTCAGCATCTCAAGGTTCTCTTCTCATCACCCTGGGCTTTTCTCTCCAGATTCAGAGGAGTAGGGTAGGTGACTCAGAAGTTCCCCTGGAGTTTGACGCAGGAAGTCTGCTGTTTCCACTCACCCCCAGGCAGTGTGCCTGGCTCCCATGGGACTGCCCTCCCGGAGCCTCTTCCTGCATCGCTCACCACTGGAAACTCCCGTTGCTTAGCAATAAGTCCCTGCTGCCTTGTTAATCTTGTAGCTGGGGGCAGAGGTGGCACAGGGGGCAGAGAGGATGATCCAAGCTAGGGTGGGACAGCAGCAGGGATGGGTACTAAGTCCCTAGCCTGGTTCTCATACTTGGTGTTCTTGGTGGTGGAATCCTATCTGGGATATAGATGACTTCCTGACCCTTACCGCTTCGTGTGCACCCCAAACCTGCCGCCCCACCACCTCTACCTCATCACCAGGCTCTAGCCTTCCCCTGGAACCTTAACCAGCCACTGATTCTCAGTCCTCCACGTCAAAAGTCTCAGACAGTTCTTTCCTATGCAAGTTTAGGAGAATGATGGTGCTCACTTGTAATTTCAGCTCTTTCAGGAGGCTGAGGCAGGAGGTTCACTGTGAGTTTGAGGCCAGTTTGGACTACAAAGTGAGTTCAAGGGGAGCCTGAACTATCTCAAAAACCAAAACCAAAACCAAACCAAAAAAGAAACCATTCACTGAAAGCCCTTTCTAAACCTTTGGCTTCATAGTAGCTAATGACCTTGACTGTGTCCTTGGCAGGAAATATCCTCCCCCACTGGTTGATGGAGATCTGCTCTTGGGTCTGGAGAGGTGAGAGGGTCTCCGTGTGCAGAGTGCCTAGGACATGGGGAGGTGCCTTGTGTTAGGCCCCCACACACCTCCCCTCTTCTGCCTGTTGCTCCATCATGGAGTGAGTTCTGATTTTTGTTTGGAAAAGCAAAGTTTCTGGGATTGAAGACTTGTATACTCACAGTGTGTTCCCCGCCCTTGTTTGTTAACAAGGATGGTGAAAGTGGCAGGGGGTTTCTCCTCCGCCTGTCAGTCTCAGGAGGCTCTGCTGGGTGCCCTCATATCCCTGACCCCTTCTCATTGGCCCTGTCTCTCTCTGGTCTCTTGGGCACTGGGAGCAAGGGACTAAAAGCAGAGAGCAGCGTGCAGGAGGCCATTGCTGCTGCTTGGCTTCTCTGGATTTGCTCCCTCCTTGGTGAGTCCTTCCTTCTGATCTCCCGGTTCACCTCTGTTGGGCCACACAGGGGGAGGAGGCAAGAGGGTGACAATCCAGTCACCTCCACAAAGAAGGCCCAGCCCATGAGTGGAGGTATGCTCGGGAAAGAGGGGCAGCGTTTGGAATTGGGTCCATAAGAGTTTCCTGCTAAGTAGCTCCGGGTGGAGGTGGGGGGCCAGAGCCAGCCAGGATGCTCCTGCGGATGCCCAGAGGCCCTTCCTTTGGCCGGTGTCCTGGCTGAGTCTCCTGGAGGTGGGAGAAGCTGAGTGGGTGGTGGGAGGTGAATGATGGTCCAGGTGAAGCATTGCCGGGTGGGCTTTGGCTGGAGGTGGGAGCCAGCACCCTCTTCCTCCCGGATCAGGACTCCCCCCGGGATCTACCTGTAGCCCTTCAGTTCTACGGATGTTCCTCCTTCCTCCCTAAGGGATGTGGATTTCAGGTCTGAGTCACACAACCTCCAGCAGCCTCTTCCCTATGTGGGTGGCTCTGCGTAGAGCGCGGAGGTCCTCACTTAAACCCAAGCCCTGGATCCAGTTCTAAGAGGCCCTTGCTTCCTGTCCAGCCTGTGGGTGTTGGTCATGAGCAGCTCCTGGGCTTGGAGCTGGAGGCCTGGCAGGTCCTGCTTGCTGCTGAGACCTTATCTCCCGATGCCAGTTCCAGCTCCCTCTGAAGCCTGAACTCCTCTTTGGCATGTCCGCACCTTTACAGCAAGGCTGTCCTTCATATCAGGTGGTGGGGGCACTGGAGAAGGAGGAGGGCTAAGGTGGGAACTCCCTCTGGGGAACCGGTGTCTGAACTGGATGGGGCAGAGAGAACCTCTGACCACTATCTGCTCCCTGTCTGCCCCCAGTTCTTCATGGAGTCCTCCTCCCACTCTGCTCCCGGGCCCCTGAGCAGAGGAGCCTTCTTTGGGGGCTGAACAACCCACTATGCTTGTTGCTCAGCATTTGCCTTGGTCTCATGAGACCCTGTCTGGACCTGGATGGATCCTCTTGGTGGTGGATGTAGGCCTCATCATGGGTTCCAGTCCAGGTCCTTGGAAGGAGGGGTTTGGGAGTGAGACAGGGGTCATGGTGGCTGGGAGCAGATGGTGTAGCTTCCTGAGGACTCTGGTCTTCCCCTTTATCCATTCCAGAGCTGCACACTGATGGAGACCCCTCTTGAGAAGGCCTTGACCACAATGGTCACCACTTTTCACAAATACTCAGGGAGAGAGGGTAGCAAACTGACCCTGAGCCGGAAGGAACTGAAGGAGCTGATAAAGCAGGAACTGAGTCTTGGGGAGGTAGGTGACCATCCCCTCACCCTGCCGTGAAGGCTGCCCCTGCCAGGGACACACATCTGCCCTCAGGTTCTCTAACCCAGGGGCAGGCTGGCAGAAGGCTAGGTCCAGACACAGAAGGGAGAGGCTGAACATCTCAAGTCATCGGAGCTCTAGACCTCTGTCCTGGGGGATGAGCCAGGTCTCACTGAGGAGTAAGGCTGAGTCTGGGGCTGGACAACAGCCTCGATGAAGCTCCAGAAGAGGAGGAAGGAGTCTTGATGGCGGGGCTGGTGTCACCATGGTGACAGGACCTGTGCTAGGGAAGTTGGGGGAGGCGAAGGGGTCTGGGTGTCCAGGTTAAGTTGTGCGCAACTCAAGGTAGGGACCTTGCCTGATTTTCCTCCGTGTCCGAGGCCTTACTTTGTGAATGGAGGGTAGGAAGTAGATAGACCGATTTACAGCAGATGGAGTTGGAGGGGGGAGGTCACCCACAGAAGGCAAGGTCCCTGAGGTAAACATGACATTATTTTTACAGGTAAACAAACAAACAAACAAACAAAAATGGAGGCTCAGGCACATTAGAGAACTTTTCCAGTGAAAGGCTCAGCTGGAATTCCAGGCCAGGCTTGTGCTCTGCTCTTTTTTCCTTTGCAGTTTATCCTGGGGGAGGCTCTTGTGGCACATTTTGACCTAAAGTGCTTCCATGGGCAGGGGGAGAAGCCCTGGATGAAGAAGGATTGACCTCTGTCCTTCCAGCTAGGCCCCTGGAGTTACTGAGGACAGAGGGAGGAACTAATTACTGGGGGACAGGAGCCCAGGGAGGCCTGGGTAAAACAGAAGCCCAAATGGGGACTAGGATCTTGATGAAGACAATTTTCATCTTCCTGTGTCCCATCGTCCTGGATACTAGGAAGACCGGTGCTGAGACAGTGAAGAGCCCCTTTCTCCTGAGGAGGGCTCTATCTCTGTGCTCCTGGTGGAACAGAGCAGGGTAACCGGGCAGGGGACCAGACAGAGGACAGTGGAGCACCAGGCTGAGCTCAGGGAGAGACTACGTCCTGGTCCCTTCTCAGGCAGCCCTAGATGGTTGCTCCTCTGGCTGGGAGGTCAGGCTGGCTTCCCACTGTGATCCTGTGGGCTGGACTAGATGCTATGGGCAGCTGCTCACAGCAGGGGCACCCTCAGCCTGTCCAGCAGTGGGTAGGGCTCCTGAGCTGACTCTCATCCTGGGTCTTCCCAGAAGATGAAGGAGAGCAGCATTGATAACCTAATGAAGAGCCTGGACAAGAACAGCGACCGGGAGATTGACTTCAAGGAGTACTCGGTGTTCCTGACCACCCTGTGTATGGCCTACAACGACTTCTTCCTGGAGGACAACGAGTGACCCAGCTGCCCTCTGTCCTCCCTGTCAGCCCTTGCCCCTGCCTGCTGTAGCCCCCGGAACAGACCCTCTGTGGCCCCATCCCCTCTCTCTGATGGAAATAAAGGAGGCTGGCCGGTCATGACTGTCTTGTTCACTTGTCACAGGCCTCACATCCAAGAAGAGCACCTCCCTGAGAGCCCGGGGAGGCTTTGTAGGCCTCAAGGAGCTGCTAAGAGGCAGGGAAAGTGGAGCGGGAAGTGCTTTGAGAGTGCACAGGTTGGCGACTGAGGTGTGCTCCGGGGCAGGGGCGCCGCAGGTCTGACCCAGGGCCAGCTCGTGGGAGGGCAGGAGGCAACCAGTGCCCCAGCCCCAGCCCAGTCTCTGGACAACACTGCTCCCTCGTCCCCAGGAGACCCAGCTGATAAAGTTTTCACTAAGGGGTGAATGACCAGCCGCGCTTGCAGGGCAGAGCTCAGGCGCTCTGTGCGTGGAATCCCGGGCGGTAGGGCGAGTGCGATGTCGGTAGGAACCGGTAGCTGGCAGGACCCGTGTTCTAGATGCCTTACACACAAGTGTAGACCCTGGGCTTGCCCTTCCCTCCTCTGGAGTTCCCCGGAACACCTCTGGGGGCGCTAGCGTCCCTGGAGTCCCTGCCCTCTGACCGTGACCCTGCTCTAAACCGTGGCGGGCAGGAGGCTGAGGAAGAAATGGGTGACCTCAGCTACCTCCCAGAGCCCTGTGCCTGCCAGGAAGGGCACACTGAGCTGGAGATTAGAACTCGACGCTTTGTTGCGGTGGCGTCCACCCTGTTCACTCGTCCTGCCCGCCGCTGGGCTCCAGGATCTCCACCCACCCCGGAGCAGAGGGCAGGAGGCTTGGAGGGGCTGGCGGGAGGCAGGTGTGAGCAGGGGTGGGGTGGGTGAGGCCGTGGGGACCCCAACACCAGCCTTCCGGACCGGCCCATATAAGGAAGGCCCCTGGGCCACTCCATCCAGCAAAGCCACCTCCACCCCACCGCCCCCGCTGTCCAGTGCAGTGAGATCCGGTGGGGCGCCCAGGCCACGCAGCCCACCTGAGGTCCCTCCCCGGGGCTCAGACACCCTGCCTTACCTTGCTGGGGTCTCCCGGGACAGCAGGGCTTCAAGCCACACTGCAGAGGGGGGCAGGGCAGGGAGCCGAGCCAGGTAGGCCCGGGTAGGGGGTCCCAGAGAAGCGGCTCCTTGGGCCTTTTTGGGGTGCCAGAGGCTGTGTCCTGGGTGTGCCTCTGGGGCAGTGTGGGGTGCTGGATGGCCGTGCCCAGTCACACTCCCCAAGTTCTCCTGGAAGCCCTGCAGGATAGCCCTCAAGCTGCCTAGAGCTGCCGGCCCTAAGGGCCAGAGGAGCCTCGTGATCCTCTCCCCTCAGCTCTGGTCCTCTGGGCCCTGCTCCCCACCACACGGGCGGCAGGTGGGGAGGACAGAGCTCCTGGGCTGTGTGGGGAGCAAGAAGTCCTGCTGGCCGGCTCTGAGCAGCCCGTCTCCAGTGCCTAGCCCAGCCGTAGCCATGGATGAGGCCATGGAAAACCTCCTGTCCCTTTTCACGAGTACTCTGGCCGGGACTGTGACAGGGGCACCCTAACGAAGAAGGAGATGAAGGAGCTGATCCAGAAGGAGCTCCCCCTGGGCTTGGCGAGTACCCTGCTCCCAGACCCCTTCCCACCCCTTGCTTACTCTCTGCCTAATGGAGCCTTGGCCTGGAGAAGGTGGGGCTCCCAGCCAGGGGTTCACTCCTTCTGAGCAAAGAGCAGGGGCGGGGAGAAGTAAAGCCAAGGCGAAGCCAAGGTGGACACCTCTCCCGGGTGCCAATGAACAGAGCTGCTTCTGTGAGAGAAAGTGGCTACCTGGGGGGAGGGAGGGCAGCATCTAGGATTCCGGGCAGCCCTGGATCTGCTCTTCCCCTTCTAACACTTTACAAGTGCTGAGATGGAAGCAGTCCTGCTGGACATGGACCAGAACTGCGATGGCATCGTGAGCTTCCAGGAGTATTTCACCTTCCTGGGGACTTTGGTTTCCATCTATAGTGAATCGCTCAAGGAGAACAAATAACTGGGAAAGTGGAGATGCCTTCTGGGGGCACTGAGTTAAATCTGGCTGTGGGTCGTTGTTCAATAAGTTTTCTTTGGTCAGATCTCTTGTGCCCTGGCTTCCCAGTGATTTCTGATTCCTCCTTCGCCAGGTTCTGTCAGGGCCATGAGAAAGTCTGCTTCACAGTTGACCTCTGACAGTCACTCATTGACTCTCCAGGTCCTGGGCCCCACTCTTGATGTTACAGGGAGCTGTGACGTGTAGTAGTAGAAAAGATGCCCCTCTTGGCAAAGCCATCTTAAGGAAGGTTCGAGTGTTCTCGAAAGGAGAGGATCTGGGCTGGGTCTGGAGCAGGAATGGTGCCCGGGGTGGGTTGTTATGGGTTCAGGGTCCCTAGAAGCATGGCAGATGGTCCTGGAAGACCAATTTTTGTTCTGGGTGTCGTGAGAGGGGCTGCATTGGACAGGCCCTGGGGTGGACCCCATCCACTTTCTCACCACAGTGGAGTGGGGCAGAGTGGGAACGCGTGAGATGCCCAGGGCTTGGCCTGAGATCACTCAGCACGTGGGTGGGTTTACTGCATGCATCTGCCCATGTCTCTGTTGAGGGTGGGGGGGCGCACTGTAGGAGACAGTCCCTGCATTTGTGGCACGCTCCACGTTAGGATGGTGGTGTGGGGACGCCTGCATCACGAGGGGTCCACAAAGGGGGAACGATGGAGGTCCCTGGCCAGGCCAAATGCCCAGCATTCAATGTCAGGGAAGGGCACATCTCTTCACTTTGAGCCATCAACCCCAGATAAAGCGATTCAACCTCATCTTGGACACACACACTATAGGTAAGTCAGGGAAGGGAGGGTGCTGTGCAAAGACAAATAGATTCCAAGCCCTGTCTCTTTCCTCCCCATTTCAGGGGTTGAAGACCTTCATGTAAACCAGCCCAGCCGTGCCCCCAAGCCAGGTGCAGTTGTTCCAGTGTGCGGAGGCTGTAGGATGCGGGGAGGGCTGCTCCAGCAAGGCCATCAGCCCTGGGCTTCTCGGGCAGTGGGAGGGATTCCCAGAGGAAGTTAAGTGCACAGCCCACCCGCTGAGTAACAGGCATATCCTTAGCTTATGTTTCTCTATGGGCTAAGGGAGACAAAAGGGAGTGCAGATTTAAAGAATAAAACAAAATCCCAAACCAATAGCAAGTCTTGGGTTTGCATAGGAATATAATTTCTTCAGGGCTTCTCTTAGTGTGGAGGACGGGAAGGAAGCAGGATTTACATGGAATCTGGCGGCTGTAGCAGCAAAGGGGTGGCGTCAGCTGTGCTCAGCAGCACAGGCTGCTTATGTTTGTAGCTTCAATAGATTGAAAGTCAGAATAGAGCCCTTGAGCTTGCTGGTGAGCAGGGTCCGGGCTCACGGGAGGGGGAGATGTTCAGATGGAGCTGGGCCTTCACCTGGGTTCCTTCGCGGGTAACGACCCGGGATGCTCACATTCCTCTTCCCTTGGTTGAGTGCCTCCCTCCTCACCAGTATAATTGGCATCAATCCTATCATCTAGTTACTCCCACAGCTGGGAAGCAGAAATAGCAACATCACAGTCTATTTGTAGGAGCTAGGTTGGGCCTCAGCTAGGAAGTGGGTTTAGGACTGAGTCATACCATTTAGCTGCCTGCTCTCCACCACACTTACATGAAATTGTCCAGAATAACCCCACCACCTTACACCGTAGAGTATAGCAAGGTGCTATTTGTAGAAGGTGCTTTTATATCCATTGCCTCCTCATCTTCAGAAGACTTATATCTAGTAGGTGGTATTAACATTATGCAAAAAGTGACAGGACTGAGTAGCTACAGAAGTCCGTGATTCTACCCAGACCAAATTCCCAGATAACAAGGGTTTCCAGCAGATCCCAGGGTTTCTCATCCCAGTGTAGCTCCTGGGTGCTTCTCTCGGCCTATACTGGCATCTTCATGATTTACTCAGGCCATTTCTTCTTCATTTCCTTTTAAATGTTTTAATTAAATATTGAGGATATGTAAATAGTTTGTGGACTACATCTAAGATGAGGTGCAAGAAAAATTTATCAGAGGAAGATAAGGATGCACTCAACAGTGGAGTGTAGATGCTCAAAGAAATGAGGCACGATACAGTTGGTAACTGGGGATCTTTTATGTTTTGTGAGGTGGAAATTGTAAGGTCAAATTACATGATTGAGACCAGGGAGGCAGGGAAAATCTAAGCAACATGTGACGAGTTCATTGCAGTCTGGGTGTGGATGGGCCAAGGGTGAAAAGACTGCTGGCCCTGAGAGGGTGTGCGAGGGTGATATACGGGAATGTACAGGGGAGGAGGTATTGGTCAGAGGGTAGAAAACTTTCAGGGTCCCACGGGTGATGGGCCTGGGGCTGGCTGATAAGTGGTGGTGGTTGGAGCAGGAACAGGTTCAATTTGTTTCTTTTGCATTAGAAAACAAAGCCCTGCTTCCTCTGAATGATCCAAAGACTCCATTTACAAAGGGAGAGTAAGTGAAGCATAACACATTTTTAAAATCATAAAGTCACAAAAACATGGATGTGTCAAACTCACATTTATAATTTTGAAGTACATGGGGGTGGGGGTGGCAGGTCAGTGCCAGAGCAGGAAAAGACAAAGACACTCTGAGCTATCGATTATTTATTGGGTACACACAATAATGAGAGTATTGGATAACTCAGAGGGTGGTGGTAATCATGTTGATGAGGATGGTGACAAGGGCGAAGCATTCTTACAGTAGCAGGTGGGATGAAAGAGCAGGCTAATAAGGAACGTGTCCTTCTCCCAGGTGAAACCTTTTGCTTAAAAATTACTACTAGATTCTCAAAGAATCAGGATGTCCTCAGCTGATGTGCTTTTGCCTTGAGCATCACAGCATCACGGAACTTTGAGGCCTCAGCTTGTGACTACAGGTACATGGAGTTATGTTTCTGCATGCATAGCTGGCTCATGGGCAAGGTTAGGCCTTAGACAGCCCTAATCATAATTTAATTAGGAAATGATTTTTCCCAAAAATTATATGGCTTTCAAAAGTTCCCCGGCGGGGGCGGTGGCGGGTATTTAGCTCAGTGGTTCTGCTGCCTGTCTTACAAGCACAAGGACCTGAGTTTGATCCTGGTACCAAAAGAAAAAAAAAAAAAAAAAAAAAAAAAAAAAAAAAAAAGAGTTCCCTGGGAAGAAACGTTTTGTTTCTTTCTGTAATGAACTCTCAGGAATTCTAGTTCCAGTCCTCTAAGAAAATTTCTTCATGGTATTTTGCATTTGTTATTTTCTCTGTAAACTATCTAACTATTTATGCCATACATGTTTAGGATTAAGTAAAACACAACCATCTGCCAATGCTTTGTGTTTCAAGTGACATCATAGTTACTGCATATTGGAGACCTGTGCAGTAGGGTCCAGTCTCCTGCACAGTATATTATGCAGGGATGAGGAAAGACTCAAAGAAAGAACTGGAGAAAGAAGTGGGGAGCCAGGATGGCCAGTGCTGAGTAACCAGAAAAATACCCTGGTCCGTCCAAGCCACTGATTTTTATTGGTAATCCAAGTGGTTTAAAGGGGAACTATGTGCTAACGGGGAACTGTATGTGAGGAAAAGCAGTTGTGCAGTTGCTATGGATACTAATGCAGGCAAGGCTTATAAAGGAAACGACAAAACATTCTCTAATTAGAAAAAGAATAGACAAAATATAGGGTTGTAATTAGAACCTTGTCCTTCTAGTTAAGACTGTGGCTGTGGGGATAGAATTTGGGTGCGAGTTACTCCAACCTCAGCTACCTTGTTATCTCGTATTGAGCCCCAAAGCTTCACAGGCCATTTCTCTGGTCTTGGCTATGGCTGTTAACAGGAAGGTCATGCTAACCCGTGTGCTGCTGCAGTGCTTATGAGATGCTTCTATGAGCCACTTTTGCTTAAAATGAGCCAGTTGAGGGGTTACCTCTTTACAGCCTGCACTGCTTATAGCTTGCTGGAGGCATAATCAAGACAGCAGTCCTAAACATCTCCTCCTCCTGCTTTTGGAAGCTGCAACAGCTACATCAGGATGAGCTGTAGTTGCAGCTCTAGATGTCAGTTGATTGTGGTTCCTCTATGGCAGGCTAGAAATAGAATGAACAAAAATAGACAAATGAATCATCTAATACCAATATAAAATCAAAAATGGACTTTGAGGTAAGTAAAAGGATTAAGCTGATCAAGCAATTTGGTAAATTTATTCAGTTCTTGCACTTGAGAGTTGCATTGGGCTGTGTCCATTGAGACATGGGTAGGACCTCCTTCTGGAGGGCAGCAATGTCAAAGGTTTTGATGAAGGACTCCTTGAACATGTTTGTAAACATGTTCCCAGGGATGGGAGGATCCATTATAGGGCAAAGGAGTCTCACAAAAGCAAGATATACTGTAGTGACATGTTAGGCCTCATTGTAGTTGTAAGCTTTCAGTTTGATCTCCCATCCATAACACTGCAGTTTCTAGGACACTAAACTGGGTTTGTATTTTAAGGTCAATGTTTTTTTTTTTTAATTCTCCAGATATTATCAGCAGTTTTTGTTCAATGATCTATAAAATGGGTAGTTGGAACAGAATGGGTCAGGTCTATAGGCCTGACCATTGTACTGGAAATCAGCAATACTAAGGAAATTATTCCAGCAATGAGTCTCACCATGTGCTTAATATGAGTCAAATGATCAAACGAAACATGTACAGAAAGAGAAGCGAGAGAATGATACCACGGTTCTGTGAGGTTCACAGGTAACCACACACCAGGCACCCTGCCCGTAATAATGACTGTCTGTGAACCGAGGATGTCTCCAGTCTTGATACAGTGAGTTAAGTAGCAGTTACAACAAGAAAAAGAATTTGCTTGCCAATTAACAGTGCCATAGAGAAATACATAAGGGTCATAAATACAAACATATGTGGTAATTTTATATAGAAGAAAGTTCAATCTGATTTCATCCCTGGTGCTTCAACCTCTCTTCCTATGTATATTTTTCCAGGAA